GTCAAGGAGTGTAGCGTATAGGCAAGAAACAGTGCGAAAGCGGTAGTTAACGGGTGTTTTACCGGTTAATCGTTGGACTTTGTCTCGTCTTCTCATACGAGGTCTCGCAGAAACAGCTTCGATTGGTCTGTTAGGGGTTCGTATTGGAATGTTGGTGTCATATGTTGTGTTGTTTTTGTGCGATTATGGCTATGTCGCTGAGGTAAGGCGGAGCTAATAGCATCAAAGATCTTGGTAAAACTTGTGTATGGAGTGACGGTATGGGATTAGTGTTTCGTGTAGATGCGATGGGTGACTCCATTTTTCGAAGACGGTTAGGTAGAATTGCATAACATTTAGGTTTATTTATAGCTTCATTAGTGTTAACATAGTTTTGTGGTAACCACTAGTGTAAATATTTTTACCCGATTGAAGATCGAATTCATGTCTATGGTTTTTGTTATGCAATGTTTCTTGGTCGGGGTGCGAGGGGAATGTAGCTAATGAAAAATCGATCAAGAATGTCGAGTGTGAAATATGATGCGTGGTGGGGGGCGGCTGGTGCGTAGGGATCGTGATGCGTCTTTTGGTTCTGTCTTGATTGTTTCGGTCGAATCGTATGGTAAGTTTTGATTTGGGTATTGGGTGGCTGCCGGGTTTTTGATATGCCTTCTGAATTAATTTGTGTTTTTATTTGTAAGTTGTTGTTTATATTGAGTTTAACTATGTTGTGGAGCGGTTTGGGTGCTGATTGTAAGAGTTACGCTTTCGTAGATGCTGGCGTATCCATCTAATTAACATTATTGAGAGGTATTCCACTATGGCATTTTTAATGGATGGTTATTCCAGGTACTGTTCGGATGTGGACGAGCTATACATAGATTTTGTATGTTCAGGTATCCTCTTCTATGTGTAGGATTTTTTAAGTTGATAGAGTGGGCGCAAGTTCGGATTCGACTTCGTTTTGGTGGGGGATTAGTCTGTGCATATTGATTGGAGGTCACGTGTTTAGTGGTTGGGGAATACTGTAATAAGAGACGAATGACATGGCAAATTGGATTTAAAATACCGTTTTAAATTTTTGATGTTTTCGCTTTGATCGGAATTTTGTCGAAGTTTGAAGTTCTTTATGGGGCCGGTTTTTGGTAAGGCCGTTGTTATTATGTGGTGATCTTCCGTTTAGGCGGAGTGTGAATGTTTGTTTTTGATTTGCTTGGATTTTTTTGTGTTGAGGTGCGCTCGGATCTCTCGATAAAGCTTATCATCGCAACGACTAAGCTTGTGCCGACATGGTGATTTGGGATCGTTGAAGTTAGCTTTTTATCTTATTCGTATCCATCAAGATCTATGTACGCGATTTATATATATATATATATCTCGGGGCCGGCGGCCCAGTTTTATTGTGTGTTTGTGAATAAGTTTTAAGATGTGTAGTTATGGTTTTGGCCTGTACATGTAAGCACTGGTAAGCATTGATGGCGGGGATGATATGTATATTTTAAGCCGATCTAATGGTCACTTAATTTTTTTAATATTAATTAATATATAATATAATTATTATAGTTAGGGGTATTAAAATTGTCTTAAATTAATATCTATAATTATAGGGTATTTAGTCATGTTTTTATGGGAGTGATCTATTAAAATTTATAAAATGTAATTATTTGTTATCGGTTTGTAGTTGTTGTTTTACCCACTTGGGTTTGGCGAAGGGGGGAGGTTCATGTGTGAATACCCGAGGAGCACCTGTTTGATCCATTTGAGAGTTGATCTGATTTGGGGGAGGCGTTGAGGGGTCTCGCGGAAATTCGAGGTGTGTGTAATTGCGGTTACCGGGTTAACGACGCCGAGTTTGTTATTTCCGTGATCGCGACGGGCCGCCGAACACCTGTTGATTTCGTGTTGTATTGAGTTATCAGGTCATGTCAGGAATTGCCAGGCCTACTAGCACCCTTAAGATATATGAAATTTCGAACAGAAGGTGATATATTGGCATCGGACAGTCGGGGACGGCAATGATATTGTATAAATACAGTGATACGTACCGTAATAATCTTCCCGTAGGTAAATAAGGTTTCTTGCTGTTCATATTCTATATTACGATGTCGGAAAGTTTCACTTAAATTTACTTTGAGAGATTCCAAATAAAGTTTATTAATTAAGATAATAATATTGTTTTATGTTTTATTAGTTTTAGGTCAAAATCAAATCCAATCTTGACTTGCAAGAAATCTAAACTTTTTCATGTTGTTCTTTTGTACATATTGTTTTGTAATTTTTTAGTATTCTTTGAATGTTTTAGTTGAACTTCTGGCTTGACTTTACAAATCCAACGTTACGGTTGGTTTCATGTTGCATGAAATTTTAACAGCAGCCACGAAATGCCTTAAACAATGGGATCGAAACCTCAAAGCACCCTGAAACCTATTTAAAACGAGGACATTTTGAGCCTCTTCCTTCATCACCAACGTTTTGGGTTGGATACTCTAATTCTATCATAAAGTGACTCCCTTTTTTTTATTAGACTATAAGAGTGTGTTTGTTGCACGGGATTATTTCGGACTGTACTAACTTCAGGGACTAAACTGGACTAGCTTAGACTAGACTAAGTTGGACTAACTTAGTGAAACATTTAATGCAGTGTCGGACTAAGAAGCAAGATAACTAAAAGACTCAAATATTATATTATTTAATCTACATTTATTAATAGTTTATTAATAATTTATCATCTTTTTTTTCTAGAATCATCTCTCTAGAATCATCTCTCTATCTAATAGCCAATATCTTTTTATTTATTTATTTCTAAAATCATCTTAACCCATTTCTCTTTTACTCCGCCAATCTCTCCCTCTCCTCTCCCTCTTTTTATCCTGTTTCACCATTTTTCTAGAATTCTCTTCCTCTCCGTATACCTCTCCCTATTTTCCTCCACCCACTCTCTCCCTCCCCTCTCCCACTTTTCCTCTTCCACTCTCCCCCTCTTTTCCTTATGCAAAGATTCACGCAGAGGTTTTATCGGAGCTCTCCACCTAACACCTACACTGATTTTCTAGGAAAATTTCGAAATTTTCTGGTGATTTTGCATTTTTATTTTGAATTTGTGTGGGGGATTTGTCCGTGGGTGCTTAATTCTGGGGGTTTTGCATTTTTTTGTTTTGAATTTTAGGTGTTGATTTTGAGATTTAGGCAATGGGTTTGAGATTTGGGCATGCGTAAGGGAGTCGAAGTTGCAGACGACAAAGGCATGCAAACGATGTTGGAGATAGGATTAGGAATCCCATGCTTTTTGGGGGTCTCACTAGGACGACATAGCGAAGCACTTAGTTGGAACGAGTCCGACTTAGTCTCATTTAAGTTTAGTCCAGCTCGCATCAAACACGGGATTAGTAGTCTTAGCAAAGCAATCCAGTCCAGTGAACTTTAACGAGGGCAAACAAACACGCCTTAATAATATTCTAACTGAAAACACCGTAAATATTGAGTTTTTAAAAATAAAGTTTTGGGGTTAAATTTCAGAGTTCTCCTTAAATTAAAATCTCACATAATTCATTATACTCTTCTCCAACTTTGAAGGAATTTTAAAAATAAAAATAAATAAAAATAAAAAGACTAGGAAACAAATCAAAACGGAGTAACCTAGAATACATACAAGATAAATACTAAGAAACAAATTTTCTTCGCCATCATCTTCTAATTTTCCATTGACGGCTTCTACTAGTAATTTAGTAAGGTTGGTATTTTGGAATGCTTACTTCCATGGCGCCAATTAGCAAACATATTAGTGCTTAATTACTTTTGTTTGGACACCGATATTTTTTACAACTTTTATTTGAATCTTTGTGCTAAGTTGCTAACAATGATTTGATTCCAATTGTTCGGAGGCAAAGGTGGATGGTCCCTCGCACAGCTCCCCAAGGATCGATGGCACTTGTTGACTTGTAGTTGGGTGACCTCTTGCTGCTTGGTGTGTTGCAAAAAGAGTTCACAGTTAGTTTGAAATGTGCTTTTGTGGGGCCTTAGGTGTAGGCCTTGAGACTCACAATCAAAACTAACATAGTGCTAGGCGTGCCACTGTTATCTCAGTATAACAGATGTTGAAACAAAGGTATTTTGAGTGATTACTTGCGCCCCAAGTTACTCAAACTTCTTGTTATCAAAAGATTGTCACGGATGGGTTGAATCTGTATTAAGTGTTTTTTTTCTTGCCTTATAAACAAGGACTTTTAGTTTGCAATCTTGTATGTTCGAATGAAAGGAGTCAAGAGCCATTGTAAAACATTTCCTTGGTTCCAAGTTGTTCTTAATGCAAACAGATCTATTAAGTTAACCAGATCCGAATGCAAATGTGACTCTTAAGTGGGAAATAACTGGAAATAACTTGAATGCATGCTGAAAAATACATTTAGGTGACATATCTACTAATTTAGAGGACAAACAAAGAGATTCGGACAAAATTTCACCTTGTCGGGCAAGGTTGAACTTCTTGCATTCACTTCTCTCTGTGTTTACAAAGGTGGTATACTAAAACGTATGGATGGTAAATAGATTTTACACGAGGGGATTGATACTACAACACGAGGGAAGGTAACAGAGCTTTTAGACTATGACTAAAAAGACTGAATCTAGGATGGTTTAAGTTTTCTAGATGCAAATCTGGCTTGAGAGCAGAGTTTGTATATTGTTTGGTTGAGTGTCCTTGTCTTTTATGTCTCTTCCTCATTTTCTAAGCGATTTGGCCCGACTGTCTGGGCTTTGTTCTTGGCCGAGGGCTCTCAAGGGCAGTGAGTCATCACGTAATTACACCTTTATGCTCTCAGAAAGTGTTTTTTTGGCTGGTAGTGAGTTGGTCTTTGTCACTTGTCACTTCAACCATAGGCACATGACCTATACCTTGGCTAAGAAGGCTTTAGTTTAACTATGGGCTTCATAGTTGAGCTTCGGGCGAGTTTATGTCATTTTGGTGTCTTTGGGCCTCCCTACTGTTAAGCCTAATATTCAAATATTAACCGAAACACCAATACTAAAGATGAAAGACCTTGACATTGATTCAAACCTACATTGTGATTGTTGGATGTTGAGAATCAATCCTACATTGATGAGAGGAGAAACCATACATGAGCTTATAAGTAAATTGGGCTACTCTTCGTATTGCCAATTGGTTTTATGGTGAAACATCAGCTTTCTTCAATTGATCTGACAATTTCCCTCTGGCTACCCTTCAACTAAATTGAACTTGTGTAGATCGATTCCATTTCCAAATCTCATTAGGGTTAGGCCATTACAATCTGCATATCTCTGAGCCTTGTTTTTCTTTAACTGGTTTTTAATGTACTGTCTGCTGCTAGATATGGAAGCAGCTGCAGGCATTGTTTTGTCCCCGGCTTAATATCACTTGTCATTTCGCCAAATCATTGTGACTTTGTGAGTCATCTGAAAAATAAATAAAGTATGTATTCGATTAGTTTTATTTAGTCATTGAAGATAAATACTAATAAGCAAGTACCTAATAAATCATAATTAACAAGTGCAACAAGCAAACTCTAGCTATGATCATTTGACAACAAGCAAACTACAGCTTTTTTTTCTTAGTGTAAGCACACTCAGGAGCGGCTTATACTCAAAACTCGCTTACATGTTGCATAGAGTTGCTCAAAGCGAGTCTGGATAGCAATCTTCAAGCTAAAAAGTTTATGAGATCAACAGTACGCTTCACACACGTTGTATAGTGGATAGCTGTGAGCTCTTCAATACGTGCAGCCTCTTCACCGTGTATACAAACATGCTGCAGTTATCAATACAATGAAATTAGAACCACGGTAAATCATGAGCAGGTGATCAATTAATTCAGTTTACACACATCCTTCTAATTAATTACTCTTGCTTTTGTTAATAAGTGAATGATTTTGTGTTTTTAAGAAAATAAGCAGTGTTTACTTATCATCCCATCGGAAACAAGTACACAAGGAGGCTAGGCATGGCTTAGCATAATGATGAAAGCTTGTTGACGACAATGAAATGAAAGTTGCTCACTGAGAATATGTTTGAAAGAAGAGATCAGCTGCCAGATGTGCTCGCTTCACCGGACTGCCTGGCCTGAGGTGGTCCGATGTACTTATGCGGGACGTGGGCTATCTTCAACCAATCCTCACCATTACCTTGTCTACATCTTTCCTCAAGCTCCGGGCATTCTTGAATAGAGAGGTGTTGGAGTTTAGTGAGAATCTTGAAACCTGGTGGCAATTGTTGTAAACCGGGGCAATCAAATATCGTCAAGGACCTAAGAGAATCAAGACCCTCAAACCATTCTGGCAAAGCTGTTAGATTGAGGCAGCTACCAATTTTGAGACAGTGCAGTGTTCTCACATGTTGTAACCCTTCTGGCAGAGAATCAAACCAAGGACAGCTCAATAGGATCAAACTTCGAAGGGAGGAGAGGTGTTGAACACCTTCTGGAAAAGAACCAAGATTTGGACAGAACATAATCGTCAAGTGCTCAAGCAACGTGAGCCGTTCCAAACTCGACGACAGAGAAGTTAGGTTACTGCAGTTTTCAATGGACAATGTTCGAAGGGAACTCAAACCTCCAATCCAACCATCCGGCATGGATATTATACTGTGACAGTTACTAATCTCTAGTGACTCCAGCGCTTTGAGGTTTTGTAAAGTCTGAGGCAGAGAGGAGAGCTCTTCGCAACATCGAATGGTCAATGATTTCAGAGCAGTAAGGTTTCGGATCTGCAAAGGAAGTGAACGAAGTTTGGGGCACGACAAGATCTTCAAAGAAGACAGACAAGCTGATGCAGTGAGCCCTTCTGGGAGAGTGAGTAGGCCTGGAATGTTCTCTAGAACAAGCACAGAAAGCAGACCTAAATTTGCTACGGACGTCAGCATTGGATTACAGTCTTGCAGCTTTAGATGTTGAAGGGATTGAGGAGATGGGATATGTGCTAGCTTGGGACATCTTTTGACGGTTAATTTCTTCAGGCTTGGGAACGAATTTTCGCTATTTGCACTTGTCCACTCTTCCAAGTTGGGAAAATCACTGAGTGATAGTTTTTCAAGTGATGGAAATCTTATGTCTGCACCGTCACCGTAGAACTCTGTACCAATGCGCCTTACGCCATGCATCCCATGCAGAGAAAGAGTCTTAAGCAGCAGCAGATTCCCAAGGGCTGGAAGATGTCCACAATTTTGGCAATTCGCAATTTCAACTGCAACTACATATTCCGGGAGAGCCCAAGCAGCAAATCTAAATCCTGGATAGCCATTTATGAATAGCTTTTTCATATTTTTCGGTGGTTGTAAACTGTCGAGAATTTCTTCGGCATGTTTATACTGCTGTGCTGCAGAGGGTGCAAGTTGTTCCCGTATGCCAAATACCTTTCCGCGTTTAGGTACTATCCCCAGTGATATGTCCACATCTTCCGATCTCGGCTGATACAGTCCCCAGTATAATCCCAATGAATCGAGATTTTTCTTCATCATCAGCCCAGCTGTTTTTGCTTCCGCTGCGTGCCGTACTTTCTCTAAGTGTGTTAGATTCAACTTGTCATGAAGATTTAATTGTTTCAGCTCACTAAGGCGATTATCTCTCCCAGCGACATATAATGGCAATGTCTGAAGTTGATGTAAACTTTCAATACCAGCAGGCATTTGAAATAATTGTTCACATCCAGTTAGATTGAGATGTCTTAGGCAGGTCATCCTTTCCAAGGAAGGCAAAAAATGAAGATTACAGCAACCAATTAGGTTTAAAGTCTGCAATGATACAAGCCCACATACCCTAAGAGGAAGGTTTTCAATAGGCGTGTAAGAGAGGTCAAGATACCTCAAACATATCAAGCCACCCAATGCATCCGGGAAACTAGAAACACCACAGCCACTAAGATCTAGCAAACGCAAATATACAAACCTTGAAAACATCTTCTCCATGTTGCTTGACAAGCCAGAATCTCCTAAGAATAATAGAGTTCGTAAATGTTCCGCTGCATATAGAGCTTCCAATGGGATTGTGATTTCTCCATCTCTGTTTGTATAAACAATAGACGAGTGTCGAATTTGTGATGGATTAATATATGGTGGAAGACCTGCTTCGAGTATCAAAGACTCTTCTCCTGCAACATATCGTGCAAGATCATGAATCACATTGTTCATTCTATATCCGACTACATCATCATTTTCAGAAACCTCTACTTCTTGAAAGAAAGCCATCCACAGTAAATCGGAAAAGTATTCATCACCAATGTCTTCTAGTCGCTTGCTCCCTTGTCCTAGAACGAAGCCTTCTGCCATCCATTGATGAATTAGCTTTTGCTTCTTGAATTCATAATTTTTGGGAAATAATGAGCAGAAGGCAAAGCATTGTCGAAGATATGACGGAAGACGATGATAACTCAACATCAACGCAGGTAAAACTTTTTGTTGGCATACATCTAATTGCCAAAGTTCACTGTTCTGCATAAACAACCAATGTCCTTCCTCTCTTTTAAAGCGCATTACACTTCCCAAGCTTTTTACCGCTAGAGGAAAACCTCCACATTTTTTGACAATCTGCTTCCCAATCAGAACAAGGTGTGGATACTTTTCTTCTCCTCCTCTTCCAAAAGCCCTTTGATTAAACAAAGACAAGCAATCATCAAACGTTAAACCATCCAACTGATACGGAATTGAGCTGTCCATCATCAACGGGATCTTTCTGCTGCGTGTGGTAACAACAATCTTACATCCATCAACTCCCTCTCTAAACAAAGGTGTTAGCTTTTCCCAATCATCCAGATCTTCAGTCCATACATCATCTAACACGAGGAGAAATCTTTTATCGTGCAGCAAATGCCAAATCCGAGTCTGGAGTTCGTCAATCCCGGTAATCTTGCACTTACTCTTTGTTACCGACTCAATAATTCCTTTCATGATCTTGGTGATATTGAAGTCATCAGAAACAAAAATCCACATCCTAACATCAAAGTGTTGCTTTACCCTATTATCATTATATGCCAATTGAGCAAGAGTCGTCTTACCAATTCCTCCATGACCAATTATTGGAATGCAAGCTGCATATCCTCCTTCAACCTGGTTAGCATCAGAAGATATTAACAGCTTGATTAACTTCTCCTTTTCTTCTTTCCTCCCATGTATTTCTGTGTCCTTAACAAAAGAGCTGGTCTCCCTTTTCGCAGACCCTTGATCCACGATACCAGGCAGCAGCTGGGTAGGCTCTCTGATATTGAACATGCGAAATCCCTCGGTTATAGTCATTTCCAACTCCTGGAGCATAATCCTGAGTTTTTCAGGTTTTATAATTCCATCATCTGATATTGAAAGACGAAAAATATGATTCCAGTTTTTCCGAGCAGTAAAGAAGTCAAGAAGGTCCTGAGTATGGCAAACTGCGTTCTTGAGGTCCAACAACCAAAGTCTGGCAGCTCTGTTTGTGAACTGTTGTTCTTCTGCAACTTCAAGAGTAGCTTGAGCTCGCACCAATGCATGCTGCAGGCTCTGGAAGTTGTCGTTGTAACCAAAGAGATCAGAAGCCTTTTGTAGGAGCGGTGACGCCAATCTGTCGAAGAGCACTTGCAAAGCCGGGGATAAAACAATGCTCGCAGCTGCATCCATATCTAGCATGCATGCAACAGACAGTAACTAAACCAGTTACAGAAAAAAGAAGGCTGAGAGATGAGAATGGTAATGGCTTAAAGGGATTTGGAAGTGGAATGCATCTGCACAAACTGAAGAGCTAAAGGGAAATTCTCAGATCCATAATGTGTGGTTTACTTTGAATGTCAAAGTCTTTCGTCTTTAATCCTACTGGGATTCAATATATCGTTAGCAACTAAGAATGGCATGGTCCCCTATGTGAAAATTACTTAGCAAAAATATCCATATATAAGTACCGGTTAATGCTAGGGAGACCATCTATTAAACCATATTTTGTAAATTTTGACATGATTGTTGAAGATTGAATTATTACAGTGTTGATTAACGTACTTATTTCATATTGATGACACATCATATGATTTGTATATGTGATCTAAAAAGTTGGCCTATTGATCATTACTCATAAGTAGGCCCAAAAGTCAAAACTAGCATAGAAATATCTGTGTCCAAATAAATGTAAGCAATAATATGTTTGGTAATTAGCACAATAGCTCATTGATCTTATCTAATCACTTTGGCCGGGTTTGGTTTCTAGGATTAGATTGAAATGGATAACCTTGTATTGAAGGAAGAATTGATAAAATTGAGTTCAACTGAAGGTAGAAAATGGAATACTTGAGAATCTATTTCAATCCCTTCCGAATTACAAAGATTAGAAGGACAAGTTTCCTTTTTGTTTAATCCTTCTCTAATTTTCTCAAAATAAAAAATCATTCACCTCTATAGTGGGTTATGCTTCCAATTCAAGAAACCAAACGAGGCCCTTGTTTTCTATGTATCAGTTGGGGGTAAGCTAGGGCTGGAAAAAAATCCCAAAAATCCCAAACCAAACCGAAAAAATCCTGATCCCAAACCAAAATTTCCAAAATTTTCGGGATATAATCCCAAACCAAACCGAAAGTTTCGGTATGGGATTCGGTTTTACGTTTCATTTTTTCGGTATTCCCATACCGAACCAAAAAAATAATATATATATATATATATATTATTTTTTAATTATAAGAAAATTATTTGAACCGTTCATTGTTTTAGATTTAATCTGTGCCGTTGATTTGTTTTAGGTCTGATCTCATTACTTCACTTCACTTCACTTCCGTCTCCATTTGTTCTATTGAACTGGAATGGAAGCGGAAGCGCTGCGCAGTCCTTGTCCGATTATCCTTGTTTGAGCCTCCCTCGTTGATCCCTCATCTCCAGCCCCTGAGCCTCCCTCACCACACCATACTATCATCTCTCTCTGACTCTCCACTCCAGCCTTCCTTCACCACACAGCCACCGGCCGACCGCCACACTACTGTTTTCTCTCTGGATCTGTTATCTCCTCAGAGGCAAAATTCGAAGACCCAATCGTAGGCAGGCAACAATTTCATCAAGGTTGGTGCTTTCTTGATTTTTGAGGCATTTTATTTTCTGGGTTTGGTCAAACCAGTTTGATGACATGAATATTTAGTCTACGATCATGTACATTTAAATGCAAATTAATCTTTTTTCCTGGTTCCACTCCTTAACTAATGCCAAATATGAAAGCTCCACTATTTACTAACAAGTGAGAAGAATAATTGAATAAATGTGTTGTGGTGCACTTGATTAAGCCGCGGTTTGGGCAAGGAGAGTAGAAGAGAGTAGTTTTGTAATGTTTTAGGAAATTTGACACTTTGCTTTTGGTTTTTAATTAGGTGAGTTTTTCAACCACTCTTTGACACTTGGTTGATCATGCCTCATTATGTACTTTTGTTCTCCCAATCTTTTCATACTGCAGAGATGAAGAAACTTCTAGATTACTGATCATATTAGTCTACTATGTTGCTGTGTTGTTAAAGAGTGATTCTCTACTAATTATTTTCTTGAGTTATTATTCTTCAGGTTGTTTTTCTTGAACCTGTTGATGCTCGAGCAACTTTTAAAGGTTTAGCATACAAGCGCTACAAATAAGTGTTGATAAATCTTGTATGTAGGTTCTAGCTTTCATGTTTGTATTATCCTTGTGGGGGTGGGGCTACTTATATTCTCCTAGTTTAGAAACGAGCTGTTTTTATTTGCTTCCTAGTTCAAATACATGATACTTCTATGTTGAATGCTCATATTTTTGAACCATTTATTTTATTTATTGATGGGAATTTGGATAATATGTCAAATTTTAGTCCAAAAGCCCAAAACCATTTCGGGATTCCCGATTTGTCCCGAAATCCCGAAATTATTCCGGGATTCCCGAAAATTGGGATTCCCGAAAATTTGGTTTGGAATCGGTATTGAAATTGGGATTCCCGAAAATTTTGGTTTAGGAATCGGGACAAGGATTTCAGTATGAGATTCCATACCGAACCACCCCTAGTAAGCAGTACTACAGCTCATGTTGTTCAAGGTGAGAATTTTCTAAAGGCCATTCACAAGAGGAAGACCTAAAGGCAATTCACAAAGTGGCACAACGAGAAGAATTTTTTTAATACATCTTCTGACACAACAAGTTCAAACAAAATACCTCCTCAAACAAAATAATATATAGTGACTAGATGCAACTAGACCAAATAGATATTGGGGAGCAAATTCCTCACAAATTTTATGGTTTATACAGTATATATATAAATTGAAGCTTGTTCACTAGATATTACGATCGAAATGTAGACATGGTCTGTGAACTAAAAATTTATAAAAAATAGTATGAATAATAGCAAAAGCGTCCGTGCGGTGCTGCAGGTTTTGAAACTGTATAAAACATGTAGAAAGTTTTAAATATAAATGATAAGCCATAGTGCTTATATAAATCTATTTACAACCCTATCTAGAATAAGAAACAATGAGTAGTGTTGAACTTCTTTAATCTAATGGGTTTGTTTCTTCACTTTGTTCCTCCTTTCTCCTGATATGTAGGTGTTTTCATTTATTTGTTAGAAATTGGAAAAATAGAAGTTAATGTGAACAAATGATAGTTGGATTTGTTAAAATAGTTGGATTTGTTTAAGGATCCTCTTGCTAAAGATCAGAACAATAAAAGGATTTACAAAAAGTTAATAAAATGACTTACGCAGTTGAAGACTGTTGGCACACCAGGTCCTGCATAGACGAAAACATTAGGCATTATTAACCAAACGTGTAAAGTTTATGTCAAATTTTATATTATGTGTGTTTTGAACTATGAATGATAACGATGAGATAACAAAACATATGCGTGGTTTGAGCTATGGCCTTAAACCTTAAATACTGTATGAATCCAAGTTTTACAAAGTATTCGTATTCAAACCAATCAATTGAATTATGCTAAAACAAATTTGGTCTAAAGTGTTTAAAAAGTGAAATATAAACCCTCATTTTGCAGAATTGTTAACTTAGAAAAACGAATGCATAAATGGACAGATAGTGTTTTAGGGAAAAGTTTCTCTATCTTGATATTCAACACACAAAATGTCAAATATAAAGTATTTAGCATACTTAAAATGGCTTCCGGAATTGATTTGTTCAATGAGATAACGAGTGAAAGAAATAAAAATCAGATTGTACAAAACTTTTTTGTGCATTCATTGGTTCATTGTTAAAAAGATTTGCAGAGAAGAGAGATTTTTACCTTATTTTTTAGAAATGATGGTGGAGCAGCAGATGTCGCAATCTTAGTTATAATTTGACGGTAGGAACTCTTCTATGACGGTCCACATGCGGAACAAAGACTTAATATTAATAAGCATTTGACCAAAGAGCAATCCAATTCAAGTTCAAGGGATTAAATATGCAACAAAAAACAATAACAAAGCAACCCATAAAGTTATGAAATTAATCCTATGTATTTGAAACTATGTAACAATTTTTACCTTGAGTTTCGAAAATACGGAATCCAGTCAACTTAAAATCCCTAGTATGAAACTAAGAATCCCAATTAAACAAAAATTGACCTAATTAATTGCATATCCTGGAGAGTACTGCTCAAATGTTTCATTACAGAAAAGTGGTACTTGAAAAACCTCATATTTAAGAATTGAACTAAGGAGCTGGTTTACGTTGTGAAAGTGAACCGAGAAGTAACTTCTCCATTTCGAGATCAGCAGATCAGAGTTTGGAGCTGTCGGATTCTCTCTGTCTCAATCAACCAAGTTCTCCATTTCAAACTATTCATCAATTACGAATCCAAATACTAAAACTCTTTTAATTTTCCGTGTGTATTCAATGATTTGCTTCCTGTAAAAATAGGAAATATGGAATAATTATTTGGAGATGAAATCATACATAGAGCTAGAAGAGGAAGTAAAGAAGATATGTAAAAGCAAATTAAGAGATCATCATATTACAAAAGCTACAATAGTAAATTAAGAGATCATCATATTTGGAAATAGAGACACGTATAAAGCTGCAAAAAAAAATATTATTACCGACAAAATACTAGAAATTCTAAAGGCTAGGGATTTTCACTTTCTTAGTGAAAAAAAAAAAAAAATTGTTTCTGAGAGATATAACCCAAAATCATCTTAGACAGCAAAGAAACATAGGATTGAGAATTCAGACCTTAATTTCCAAAACCAAGCAGGGACAAAATTGGGAGACCGCTGTTTAAGGAACAGGGTTTTAGGCAAAAATGAGTTTTAGTTATGTATCAGTATTCAAAATTATGTAAATTTTTTTTACAGAGTTAAGAAAATATAGAAATAGAACTGTTAAATTGAAATCATAAACCCAAAACCCAATCAAATTAAAATTTAAGAATCCCTATTAAACAAAAAGTGATCTAATTAATTGGATATCCTGGCAAATATTACCCAAATGTTTCATTACAAAAAAGAGGAGTTTGTAGCTGTCCTGATTCATACCATTTTAAATTTGACATTAGTTGTAATGATAAAACTCAAATCTCTCCTACGTATAAAAATGTTGAGTAAGTAGCCAAAACAACAGGGCAATCAAGCAAGTGATCGCAAGTACACAAAGTAATTTGTTATGTAAGCAGTGAACATATATATACATCTCGAAATGAAAATTTCACCTGGTGATCCAACCTAGTAGCATCAAAGTAAACTTTCACTCTGCACTCCAACCGTCTCATTCTTTCTTCCTGCTAGTTTTCAAACAAATATGTAGAGTAGACCGAATGAGTAAAACAATAGATTACCACAATCAAAAAAAACAATTAGAAGTAAGATATACATGAACAATTTGAAGTAAGATATAGATGAACAATGGATGAATATATTTACCAACAAACTAAGATAAAGAGTTCATTTTACGATAATTATTCATAAGCAATATCCTGACTGCATTATTGGTTAGAAGAAAAAAAATAGAAAATAACGATTAATATTATTTGCAATTCTTATTGTTTTTACCTAATCATTTACTGGATCCATAAGGGGGAAAAAACATTTTTACTTCTCTCATCGCATATATTTGGATTTCACCTCATCCAAGCAAACGAACTATCATTATTATATTTTTTCAGTATGCTAACACCAATCTGAAAAAGAAAAAGATAATCTATTTGACAAATTTAAATTCAATTTTTATATTTCAATATATTTGTTTGTCAATATGACATCCAGTCCCATAATTCATTATATTTTATTCTTAATAGTAGTGAAATTATCAAAATGCCCCTAAGATGTCAAGTAGGCCTTCCATTTGAATCTCAGTTTTCCTTTCACTTTTCCACTCTTATTGTACAACTTTCGAATGGTACTCACTTTTAAAAACACGTGACCGCAGACAGAACTCAATTCGAAATTATAACAGACAAGTTATGTATAGTACTGTGTAAAAATACATGAGGCAAATGAATTTCTCCTTGTGCAACGCGCACCATTGCATGGGTTCTATCTGGAGCACAAAATAGGACAGAGATCCCAGCCGAATCTTATCCCATCAAATTCTAAGGATTCAGAAATCCAGAATGTTGAAATTTAATCAAATGACTACAAACAAAAAAACCCTTATAAAAGTGATAATAATTATAGTTATTAAATCAAATTTCAAAGATCCGAATTTTTGAATCCTTAGAATTTTGTGGGAAGATCCGGCTGGATCTTTGTCCCATAAAATAAGAACAAGGATTGTCTACCCTCCTAATTGTGGTGCCCTTCCATGCCCTCTTATTTTGTGCGGTCGCGGTTAAGTCACGTCAATATTTTATATTTTTATTATTTTTTGTCTTATTATCTCATTAAAAAATTAATATAAAATGTTAACGTGGCTTAACCGTGACCGCACAAAATAGAAAGGTATGGAAGGGCACCACAACTAGGAGGGCAGACAATCTTTGTCCATAAAATAAACCTTTGTGCAGTGCAAAAACTTGCATGAACTGACTGATTTGACTAAAGAGAAGCAAGTGGCCATTAATTAATATTTTATTGGGTTTAATTTAAATAAAAAAAAATCTGATGGTGGATTTCGTACAATGAGTCTGCATGAGGAATTGCTTGGCATTATTGAAGGCAAGTGGATGATTTAATATTGTTTTGTTTGAGTTTTGAGAACCCCATTTTCTACACTCCATCAGCCACCATAAGTCAAATTTTTAATCTAAAATTTAAATTTGATAATTTATATGGTATTTTGACATATTTTTATATTTTGTTCTTCATCTAATATGTCAAATTAAAGTACTGTTTTATTACATTATTATTTTTTCTTAATTTCTGTCTAATACTTGCAGATTTGTCCCAAGACGACTTACTACTATCTCCATCTAAACTCTTTGTTGCTCCCTACCAAGAACCATTATCACTAACCGGGGTTATACTTGCTGATCTGTCTTATACTTGCTGACTTCTGGGTTTTGCAACAATCCCCTTTTCGAGAATCGCACATTACGAACCGGTCGAAAACCGAACCAAATGTGACAACCCATAATTTTTTTCACCAAACCCAGATGTGGATTTTGTGAGTTTGATCGGACAAAAGGTTTATTGGGGGTTTTGGATGAGACCCAATTTGTAAAGATTGAAACTTTGAGGTGTGAAACAATTTGGGTCTCGAACAAACCTTAATTGCCAAGGGAAATGCTTGGCCTTTTGCTAAATTCGCATACATTGCATTCACTATTTCAAAAAGAATCAGAAAACTGAATCCGAAAACATAAAAGGGGGTACAGAGAAAGAACAAAAACCTGATTCAGAAACGATTTCTGAAGAAATTGGAGGCCTTTTGATTCCCTGTGAAGCTTATCCGCAGTTCAAACGACATAGTATTGCTGAACGGTTCCAGCCATCACTACGAAGCTTTACTGGACAGTGAGGATGGCGGGGAGGTTAACGGCAGCCTTGGAAGATAAGATACTGTAAGCTGCTATACGACGTCGTACTCTAGAACCTACGACGACCCGACTGACATGGATTCGGATGGATGATATTTGGTGGTGGTTGAAGCTCGGAAGCCAAACCAACTCTACCGTTGAACAATCAAACAATAAATGACATTAAAATATTAATAAAAAATTTAATAATTAATAAAAAAAAATTTGAAACTGCTGTCAAATTTGACATCAAGACCCTTTGCTGCCATTCCATGTCATGCCATATAAGATTTGGCATTTCGGTTGGAAACAATAGTGGCTGTTTTTTTTTTTATTGTTATAGCTTATGTGGATAATTTGACATCTCCTTTGGAAATGCTAATTAACTTTCTATTGTTAACTATCTCTTACTTCTCTCTTTTCCCGCAAGTGAGCGCTCATTTCTCCTTCTTTCTTTTCTTTTCATTTAGGTATCGTTTGGTATGCAGACGAGATGGGACAAGCCTGAACAGAGAGGGAGCAAAGATGACCTCGGATGGAAACAAGGAGGAAGAAGAAGGAGACAGAGAGGTTATAATTTTGTGTTCCATGGATTTGGAACGAGTCATTCCAGGGGGTGAGGCGAAACGAAAATTCACCTAAAATTCGTCATGTGGAACAACGCGTTCCACCTGTTTTAGGCGCATCAAACGTGTGACAGAATGCCTCGTTCCACTCCGTTCCGTCCCGTCCCACATACCAAACGGTACCTTAACTCTTTCTTCTATAAACCCAACGAGCCTTACCCCGCTTTCTCCCTCAGCTCTGTGCACACTTCACGGAAGGTGCAACAGCACCAATTCAACATCACCATCGCCACTCCAGCGAGCTCCACAGGAAATGCTAAACCAAACCAGACCACCATGTAATATATATATATATATATATATATATATATATATATATCTCACTCTACCACTCTCCCCTTTCTATGAAATCACCAACACCACCTCACCTCACCGACTTTGACGACGTCGCCGAGTCCACTCTTTCCTGTGAACCAGCACCACCATCATCACTTCATTCATTTTCTCAAACCCAGGCCAAAATCCTTGAATCTCGACAGTGATAGAGACCAATGTACACTTCCCCTCCAACAAACCACCGATGAGTTTTGATGATTTCGAGCAAGGTAAGGTTTAGACCACCTGTTTTTGCCTCCCTTGTCTCATTTTAACGACGATTGACTCCTTAGATGTGAGTTTTGGTGGTGTTATTGCAAAAAGCATCTCGGGGAAATTTTTTCCTAGATTCCGTCGAAGGACCCGCGTGGTTGCAGGTATTTTCCGACCAACTCCAGCCCCAGTTAGGTATATTTACGTTCCTTACCTCTTGAGCTTCATCTTGGCTTTTGAATCCATGAATTTGGTTGAGAAATGAACCTGTACCAAAAAAAAAAAAAAAAAAAAGGTCTTCATCCTAGACCTTCGGCCTAACCCAGCCCAAACCTTTGGGGCGACCCGCGAGTCCAAACGAGTCAACCCGATCCAATTGAAAAAAAAAGGGCCTAAACCCATGACCGTCCAACCCGGATATGGATCTGAACCCGGGATCTGGCCTAGCCCAAATTCTAAATGCATTCTGGAATATTCCAAAAATTCTTGGAATATTCTAAAAATATTATTTGGAATATTCCTTGTGTTGACTTTTACGAAATTTTCTCAGAAACCCTCCTAATCTAACTTCGACGTCCCGAGTCCGTTTTTGACATCTATTTAGTGAAATTTCAAAGTTTTAACGTAGTTGATCACCGGAGCAACTTAATTGACTTTATACAAAATTTGCCCAAGGCCCCTCTTAGCGTATGACGTTCGAATTCTGAATCAGTACTTCATTTTTCCAAATTTAGTTGTTTAAGTTGAGTTTTACTAATAGGTTCTAATATTATGCTTAGACGCGATTACTATCGGAGACTTCAGCTTTCCTAGCTCGAATAGATGTGACATCGCAAGTATTTTTGAGTGAGTCTTTTCGTTTTTACGTATATATATGTAGATGTGATTTTTCTCCGACAAGTGTTTTTATATATTATGATGTGATATGCCATGTTTAGCTTTACAAATAGACTTTTCGTACACTTTATGTTGTTAATATTATTTGTGAGCATAAACTTATGGCATGACATCCTTACGTTTTTTCTGCTCATTATTACATGTTTGCATGGTGTCTCTTAGTTATTTGTATTGTCCTAGGCCAAGGACTAGCTTCACGTGTAATTCACATGCACCGTTTACATTCGCTTTGGATCCAGAGTTAGGTGCCAGCATGTCATTTTGTGTGATGTTTTGGACTCATATGTGAAGCGACTAGCGCAACTCAAGTGATGTAGTACTAGAAGGTAAAACTTACACACAACCTATTCCATTGTTTGAATATCTATGCAGTGGACTTGTGTGCCAACATAAATTAATGAACATTGATTTCTTAGAATAACGAATTGAGATTAATGTTGAGATATCTTGTTGTTGTACCCTACATCTTTGACTCACTTCTGCTGCAGAGTACCTATTATATACTATTATTATAATATTTTTTAGAAATCATATACTTGTTTTACAGTGAGGAGTTACACTTTTCGAAAAAGTTTTACAAAACTTTATTTTCAGGTTCACTCACCCCGTGTTTTTCGCCCCTCTAGGATTTTAGTGGTAGAGGTTTCGTGACGACGAGGATTGTTGGTATAAGTTGTCATGCATGAGACTTCTCATTTCGGTATAAATGTCCTTACACTTATTTTACTGCAATTTATCTATGCTCTAACATCACTTGTGTAATATGGGTTCAATCCTGCTCACATGCGCACTCTAAATTAGTCACTTTTAGGTTTTAATTTATTCACATTTTCCACATCAATACACTTTATGGCTTCATCACCTTCTAGGTGTCGGCCATCACATCGTGATTCAGGTGTCCAGGTGGACATTCCGGGTCGGGGTGTATTAGTTTGGTATCAGAGCATAGGTTAGGCAGTATCACAATCATCACACGGCTCTTGAATTCTAGCGTCATAATTATGCCACCTCGTCGAACACGAAATATGACAGCTTTTTATGACTTTTGGGCAACTTGGAATGACTATCGCTGATATTTTTCTACGACTTACCGACCTTCTAAAAGAACGCTTTGGTGACCGCCATTAGACTTTTAAGCAAAGAACCTCTTTGCTAAGGAAACACCCGAATTAAAGACGCTTTGTTGACCCTGAAGCAGGGTAGCTGTATCGATAATTGTGCATCACCAGAAATTTATCAATTAATCACAACTACAATCCAACCATCGTTACCAACCCTTCTTTGTTAGGAAACCACAAGCGCTTTCATCCTTGGCAGTCTTTATTTAATATGCCACCTCCCAAAAATTTCTCGAGGTTTTGCTTCACCTCGAAGTTCTGAAAATGTCTCAAATAACTATGTTAGTGTTGATGTGGTTGCACTTAATGGAAGAACATCTAGAGGACATTCACATTTGGTCCCCGACAACGTCAATCTTTCAAACATAGCAGTTATGATTCCGGATTTTCGAGAGGAAGATCAATTTTCGATAAATCCCATTTTAAGGTAAAGTTAACCATAATTCCCATTCTTGAGCTTAGGGTAGTTTCACAAACACTAGTTTCCATAATTACATACCAAAAACAATAGTCAATGTTCCCAAAAGCGTCAAAATCACCTCATAAGCCTTCCTAGAAAATCTTACTTACTCTCTTGACCATGCCCTAGGTAGTAGCCAACCTAGGTGACGCTAATTGTCACCAGAACAAGATTGTCTTGTATCTGGGAGTTATGAATCAGTATCTAGGCGGTATGATTTCTTTATATTGAAAATACAATGCGGTGTATAGTTATCATACCTCATTGCTAGGACACCGGTTTATTGTTCCAATGAGTCATACATTACTAGAATACCATAGAAACGCTAGGTAGCGGCACCACCAAAGACAATTAAGGCCAACGGAACCACAATTGTGGAAACTTAGGAGCAAGCCATGCATGAGAACAGCAAACCCGTAGTCATGACAACGACATTAACCACCAATTAGTTATATTATCCTTGTTTGCTCAAATACTTCAATCACATGGTACCTTAGTCGGGTGCGTCTCGACAATTCCAATGCCACAAGGCAAGTTTATTACGCCAATACGAGTGTAGTGATTGCACTGTTTCCATTAGCAATCCGGTAATGCCAGTTAATCTTATTTTATTGGATATCGTGGAATTCCACGTAATTTAAGAGATGGATCGACTGTATTATTATTATTCCTTTGGTGGAGCATCGACCGAAAGTAGTCATTTTTTTTATGACATGTCATCTCTGTGGTCACCTCCATAGGCAAACATCAGAAAATGAAGCATGAATTAATTCTCGCTATGAAGGCGAATTTTTTTAAGAAAATATGGTGAAGGCTTTTAGAACTTGTTGTAGAGGAAAACGACGATCCAGTACAGCTAGAATTTGTGAACCTAGTCAAACTAAATTCTTGATGTCATTCCTAAATATCTATTTGTGATACCACTAGATTGAGATGTGTGAGGCACCATTGATCTATGTCCAAGTATAACACCTATTTTCCTTGAACCTTCATCGTGGAGACTTTTGCTTCCATTCATGAAGAGCAAAGACTGAACCTTAAGATTGTACATTATTTACTAGCAATTCAATTGGGCGATGATTAAAAACCGTTAATCCATTCTTGAATTGATCTTTCTGACTAACTCTATGGAACCTGAGCTTTCTTCGAGATCGATCTAAAGTTTTGTTGCGACTGGCTGAAGATAAAAAATGATGATGTTCCTAAGACTACGCTCAAGACTTGGCATGTTCATTACGAGTTCCTTGTGATGTGATAAGGGTTGGCGAATGCTTCAATATCGTTTATGAACATGATGGACCGTTCATTTCGTCCATGTCCCTAAAGATTCATGATAACCTTATCAAGAACTTCCTTGTTACTCCAATAATGAAGTCAAACTTTCTAAACATCGATCATTTAATCTAAGCAATCTCAAAGTGAATCATCTTTACACTAAATTCCCCAAATGCCAGGTTTGTTCAAATCATGTTTCTTTTTTGGAGACGTGGGCTCAACAGATGACATTCTCGTCAATCCCCAAAAATGTTGCAGTTGAAGAAAAATTAGGAACCCCCACATGGTTTTACAAAATATGAGGTATCTTTGGTCTTGTCGTTTACCATTGACGATCTGTGCTAACTTTCTTCACCATAGCCTTATTTGTTACAAGTTGACCAGGAAATAAGTGAGTTTCATTCGAGATGTAAATGTGATTAAGTTTCTAACAATTGAGATGTTGTCTCTTTCTGATTATTGTTCTTACACTCCTCGATGACACAAATAATTTCGAAATCTACCGTGATACTTCACTGAATGATCTTGATGCGTGTTGATGTAGCATGGTAAGTTAAGCACTTATGCCTTCCGACAGCTGGGACCACATGAAGTGAACTTCTTTACCTACGATTTAGAGTTGACAATTGCTACCTGTACAAAAAAAACTTGATGGCGGTTTCTCTATGGAGAAACTTGCCAAAATCCTCATCAACTCCCTTAAACCCCTCAAATACATCTTCACTTGGAGGAAGTTTAATTGTAGACGGCGACGATGGAAGAAATCAATCAACGCCTACGATTGCACCATCGTGTACTACCCCAGTTGTGCAAACGTAGTTGCTGACGATCTTAGCAGAAAAACACGTGGATGACTCGACTGTCAAATCCTATTTCAGTTACAACTCACGAATAGTGATGTGATGTTACTTACAAATCATCAAGAAACCTTGTTAACTAATTTCCAAGTCTGACCCTTCCACTTTTGACTTGGGATGAAAAAAGAAGATTGCTTAGGCATTAAGCAAGAACTTGATTGGTTAGCTAGTCAAAGTAGGAAAAAAGAAATCGTTCGAGTTGTTACAGTCACTCCTTAAATCCGGATGGATATGAGAGAATAACACCGAGGACTTCATGTACGAACAGCCTCGTACATGTGAAGACTATGGTGATATTTCGAAAATGGAGAAACGTGTGAGAGACTTGTATTCGTAATTCTTTTTTGATTAAATTATGTTGTTTTTAATTTCAAGGACGAAAATTTCTTAAGAGGGTAGATTGTGACATCTCGTCTCGAAATTTATTATATTTTATTCTTAGTAGTAGTGAAATTATCAAAACGCCCTTGAAATGCCATGTAGGCCTTCCACGTGGACCTTAGTTTTCCTTTCACTTTTCCACTTTTATTGTACAACTTCCAAATGGTGCTCATTTTTACGAACACATGGCCACAGACGAAACTCAATTCAAAATTATAACGAATAAATTATGTCTGAAATTATGTAAAAATACCTAGGGGTGGTTTGGTATGGGATCCCATACCGAAACCCTTGTCCCGATTCCCAAACCAAAATTTTCAGGAATCCCAATTACAATACCGATCCCAAACCAAATTTTAAGGAATCCCAATTTTCGAGAATCCCAAAATAGTTTCGGGATTTCAGGACAAATCGGGAATCCCAAAATGGTTTAAGCTAAAATTTGACATATTATGCTTTTGAGCTAAAATTCAATCTTTTATATTGAAAAATTGACTTATAGGCCTATTCAAAAGAAATCTGCCTATTCAATACTTTCATAGCATCTGCCCAATCTGCCAATTTGACATAGTTTCATACTTTCATAGCATCTGCCTATTCAAAAGCAATCTGCCAATCTGTTTGTGCACAATAGCATCTGCCTATTCAATTTCTACTACACATGCATGCAATAAAAATAAATTAAGTACCAAATCCAAAAGCAAAAATATTAGCATTCAACATACAAATATATTCAAGAAAATCTGAGCATTCAACATAGAAATATATTCCAAGAAAATAAAAACCAGCTCGTTTCTAATATAGGGGTTGGCAAACCTACAGACTTTGTAACGTCATGTCTTGTTTCTACTAATCTGTGCACAAATATGCCAATTAAATGGCAAGGCCCAGTTAAGTATCTACCTAGAATATGCCAATCTGTGCACAGAATTACAAAACTTGATTTGCTATCAAACATTAAAGCAAGACCATGTATCTAAGATTCTATAGCCAAAACAAAAATATTATCTGACGCAGCGTGTGACTAATTTGAAGTTTGAACAGGTGGAATGATTAACTCCTCAGTTGCTACAGCAATGCTAAACATGCTAACACTTCTCCCTGAAAACAACCAGGAAATCAGTCAGCATAGATAATCACTTGTAGTAGTGCTTAATAATTTTCTTTGTGGATTAATGATCAATGATAGCGGTTTAATTTATTATGTGTAAAGGTTCACCAGTGAACGCTTAATTCAATGATGTGTGTGCAGGTGTGAAGAGATTTACTTATTGTCGCAAGTAAGACTCCAAGAAAAAAGAATAACTTCAATCTATTTCACCAGAGAGTAAACTCGGGTATTATTCTCATTAAACCTTTTGTTAGTTAAGGTATCGCAACGAAAGTGCAGTTCATTAAGAATTGAGTTGAAATTCTCCACTTCCAAGCTATGATATTAAAGCCTAACAATTTGAACTAGCCATCTAGAAAGTTGAAGAGTTTCCCTGTATGTATTATGTGAACATGAAACTAATGGACTAACACACAGATGAAGATGAAGATGAAGATGAACTCAATCAAACATCATTTTAATTAAGTTGAAGAGTTTCCCTGTATGTATTATGATTTATAAAAAAGAATACGATAAACTCAATCAAACATCATTTTAATTATTGAATGACTACTAACAAACAGATGAAGATGGAAGAAATATATAAGTTATTAACACACACAAAAAAAAATTGCCAACGGTATGAATAAATTAGGCCATCAGCGGGTCTATAACCGGCCTCAAGCCCTTCCAACAATCTCTATTGTCAATTGGGCACTAAATTTTGGATGAGTGGCAAATATTAGATTTCAAAACACTAAATTAATTACCTAGTTTGGGGTGAGAGTGAGACTCGGAATCGGTGCTGGATCGAGAGTTCTGTCTGTGAAAGAAAATCGCCCGAGAGAGAGAGAGATCGCAAGAGTCGGAGACGATTCGTGAAGGAATTGTGAAGGAAGGCTGGAGAGTTCTGTCTTTGATGCTTTGGCGTGGCGGTGGCTGAGTGGTGATTCGTGAAGGAAGGCTAGCGGTGGCTGCGCTTCAAGTTCGATTCGAGTTCGATGGATTTGGAATCAATGGAACGAAAGTGAAATGGGGGATCCGACCTAAAAACAAATGAACGGCACAGATTAAATTCAAAACAATGAACGGTTGAAATAATTTTTTTATAATTAAAAAATAATATATATATATATATATAATATTTATTTCGGTTCGGTATGGGAATACCGTAAAAATGGAAATGCAAAACCGAATCCCATACTGAAAATTTCGGAAATTTTGATTTAGAATCAAAATTTTTTCAATTTGGTTTGGGATTTTTGAGATTTTTTTCCAAGCACTAAAAATATCTAAGGCAAATAAATTTCTCCTTGCGCAACGCGCACCATTGCATGGGTTCTATCTGAAGCACAAAGTCAGCCTTTGTGCAGTGTAAAAACTTGCATGAACTGGCTGATTTGACTAAAGAGAAACCAGTGGCCTTTAATTAATATTTTATTGTGTTTAATTAAAAAAAAAACTTATGATGGAAATTTTTTTAATTGTGACGGAAATATATGTAGTACATTACTTATTTTTATGTATGTAGTGAGAAATTTTATTTTTTTAATTATTACTTTTTTAATACATATATCACACTATTTATATAATAACACATAATTTACCCTGATCATACTGAAAAATCTCTTTACAATGGATCTGCCTGAGGAATTGCTGAGCTTTATTGAAGGCAAGTGGATGATTTAATATTTTTTTGTTGGTTTTGAGAACCCCACTTTCTACACTGCATCAAACACCATAATTAACTTTCTACTGTTAACTCTCTCTCCCCTCATCCTCTCTTTCGCGCCTCATTCTTTTTCTTATTATTTTATTATTTTTCTCTCCCTCGTTTCAGCCGATTCCCTCACCTCTCTTTTCCCACACACTTGCACTCATTTCTCCTTCTTTCCTTTCTTTTCATTTAACTCTCTCTTCTGTAAACCCAGCGAGCCTTACCTCGCTTTCTCCCTCAGCTCTGTACACGCTGCACGGAAGGTGCAGCAGCACCAATCCAATATCACCATCGCCGCTCCAGCGAGCTCAACAGGAATTGCTAAACCACACCAGACCACCATGTCATATATATATATATATATATATATATATATCTCTCTCTCTCTCTCTGGCACTCTCCCCTCTCTATGAAATCATCAGTGCCACCTCGCCTCACCGACTCTGACGACGTCGTCGATTCCACTCTTTTCCGTGAACCAGCACCATCATCATCACTTCATTCATTTTCTCAAACCCAGGCCAAAACCCTTAAATTTCGACAGTGACAGAGACCAATGTACACTAAACCTCCGACGAACCACTGGTGAGTTTCGATAATTCCGAGCAAGGTAAGGTTTAGACCACCTGTTTTTGTATCCCTCGCCTCATTTTAACGACGATTGACTCCTTAGATGTGAATTTTGGTTGTGTTATTGTAGAAACCATCTCGGGGGAAAATTTTCCCAAATTCCGACGAAGGACCCGCGGGGTTACAGGTATTTCCCGGCTAACTCCAGCCACGGCTCAGCCCCAATTAGGTATATTTCTGTTCCTTATCCCTTGAGCTTCATTTTGGCTTTTGAATATTTAAATTTGGTTGAGAAATGAACCGTTTATAGCTTTGGAGTTTTTCGGCCACCTTCCCTGCGTTTCCGGTCTTCTTCTTCTTTGGGTCCGGCGACCCGCGAGTCCAAACGAACGGGTCAACCCGACGCGGTACCAAAAAGGGGGCTTAAGCCCAGGCCTTTGGCCCAACCTGACCCAAAGCTTTGGGGCGACCCCAAGTCCAAACAGGTCAACCAGACCTAGAACAGGCCCAAACCCATGACCCTCTAACTTGGATCTGAATCTGAACCCGAAAATATTCCTCGTGATGACTTTTTTGAATTTTTTTTTGAATTCCTCTTAAGATAATTTTGATGCCCCGAGTTCGTTTTTGACATCTATTTAGTGAAATTTCAAAGTTTTAACGTAATTGATCGTCAAGGCGGCTCTGTTGACTTTTTAGGGTTGACAATTAATTTTTTACAAAATTTTGCCGCACTCCTCTTGGCATATTTCGATGCTTTGATTCCGAATCCGTACTCCGTTTTCCCAAATTTAGTTGTTTAAGTTGAGACTCCAGCTTTCCCAGCTCGAATGGATGTGTCATCGTAAATATCTGTGAATGGGTCTTTTCATTTTTACGTATATATATGTATATGTATTTTTCTTTGACAACTGCTTTTATATATTATAATGGATATGTCATGTTTAGCTTTACAAATAGATTTTTCGTACACTTTATGTTAATATTATTTGTGAGCATAAATTTATGGCATGACATCCTTACCTTTTATTTGCTCATTAATACATGTTTGCACGGTGTCTCTTAATTATTTATACTGTCCTAGGCCAAGGACTAGCTTTACGTGTAGTTCACATGCACCGTTTACATTCGTTTTGGATGGAGTTAGGTGCCAGCCCGTCCTTTTGTGTGATGTTTTGGACTCGTATGTGATGCGAATAGCGCAGCTCACGTGATGTAATACTAGAATGTCAAATCTATACCTAGTCTGTTCCATTGTTTGAATATCTCTGCAATGGACTTGTGCGCCTACATAAATTAATGAGCATTGATTTCTTAGAATATCGAATTGAGATTAATGTTGATGTACCCTACATCTTTGACTCACTTCTATTGCATGGTACCTATTACATATTATTATTTAGGGTTAAACTCTGTTTACTACCCTCATGTTTCGTGGTTTTCAACATTTAGTACATCAAGTTTTTTTCGTCCCAGAATCATATCTAAATTGTTAATTTTGGGACAATCTCATACATCCGTTAGTCAAATTGTTAATTCTTCCGTTAAGTGATGACGTAACGCCTATGTAGACAATGATTGGGTGCCATGTGTCATTAAAAATATTTAAAATAATTAATTAAATAAAATTTAAAAAAAAATTCATCCCTTCTCCCCCCTCGCCCCCAACCTAGAAGAGGAAGAAAAAAAAAAGAATATGCAACCCAGAAGAAGAAGAAAAAAAATAGAAAAACCGAATTTGCAATCCAGAAGAAGGAGGAGGAAGAAAAAAAAAAAAAACCGAATCTGCAACCTAGAAGAAGAAAAAAAAAATAGCAGCCCAAACCCAGTTCATCTCCCTCCCCCTCCCCCTCCCCCCCCCCCCACGCCCCACGCCCCACGCCCCACGATCGCGAATGCCAACCCAGACCATGAACTCCATATTTTTGGGATTTTCAGTGTGGGTGAATTTCGAAAATACTTTGAGATGGGGAGTTTGAGTTTGAGATGATTTTTTGATTGGTTTTGTGGTAGATCTCCATTAATCTAGAAGTGATGAACTGAGTTTTTTTTTCCTTCTTCTTATTCTTCTGGGTTGGGGGCGGGATTGGGTTTTTTTTTTTCTTCTTCTTTTTCTTTTGGGTTGCATATTCGGTTTTTTTTTTCTTCATCTTCCTTCTTCTTCTAGGTTGCAGATTCGGTTTTTTTTTTTCCTTCTTTTTCTTCTTCCTTTGGGTTGGGGGCGAAGGGTTGGGTTTTTTTTTAATTTTTTAATTTTAATTTTTATAACTTTTATTTAATTAATTATTTTAATATTTTAATGACACGTGGTGCCTAGTCATTGTCCACATAGGCGTCACATCATCACCTAACGAGAGAATTAATAGTTTGACTAACCGATATATGAGACTGTCCCAAAACTAATACTTTAGGTATGACTCTGAGACGAAAAAAACTTGATGTACTAAATGTTGAAAACCATGAAACATGATGGTAGTAAACAGAGTTTAACCCTATTATTTAATATTTTTGTGAAACCATATACTTGTTTTACAACGAGGGATTACACTTTTCGAAAAAGTTTCACAAAACTTTATTTTCAGGCTCACTCATCCTTGTTTTTTGCCCCTCTAGGATTTTAGTGGCAGAGGTTTTGTGACGATGAGAATTGCTTGTAAAAGCTATCATGTAGAAGACTTCTCCTTTCGGTATAAATTTCCTTACTCTTCTTTTACTGCAATTTATTTGTGCTTTGACATCACTTGTGTGATATGGGTTCAATCCTGCTCACATGCGCACTCTAAATTAGTCACTTTTAGGTTTTAATTTATTTACTTTTTTCACATCACTACACTTTATGGCTTCGTCACCTTCCAGGTGTTGGCCAGCACATCGCAATTCGGGTGTCTAGTAACCTGTTTTCTCTTTCAGTATATATATAATATAATTTTAGCATTGATCCTAAAGCCAACTCGGTGTGAATTTCCATCAAATTTAGTATATGAATGCACATGAGCCTCTTTTTAGAAGTAACTAGCAATGGTGCCCGCATGATGCTGCGAATTTTAAAACTGTATAAAACATGCAAAAAGTACTAAACACCTACAATATTTACATATAGGTGTCCAAGTGTCTATATCTTGGTCATTGGATTTTGGCGCAGAGTTCACAAATTTCTATGAGTTTGAGCTAAAGAGTTTGATGAACTTGCTCTAAACTCCAATGAATTACAGGGCTGCTATCTGTCTGCAGCTCATCATCAAGCTCAGTATGCTTTTGACCTCAACTCTCCATTTATAACTTGACCTTTCGCAAAAACTCAATACCGATCTACTCCTGCATGATCAGAGCACTAATCTACCTTAGTTAGAGTTCTAAAACTGAATTCAACTCATAAATCCAATTCTAAATTACCAAACAACTAAAAAAAAAACAAATTTAGCATCAGTTAAAACTTCAAATAGACAAAAAACACAACATACAATCTTGCACCGTTATATCAAAATCCGAAAATAGATGATCATAAAAAAGCACCAAGACGATCAAAGCAAAATGCTGGAAGCAAAATGTATTTTACTTATGCAAAGGTTTGCATTTTTTTTTATACCCAACCCTCAAACTTGCAGAAATCAGACAAAAGCAAAAATTAAGATGTAGAGATGTCCTCAAATATACTATGTGGAAGCAAAGCTTAGAGGTTTGTGAAGCAAACCGCGACATAAGCTGTAGCCATTTGAACAAATTAGAGGTACTTCAGCCTCTGTTCCGCCTCCTCAGTCTAAAAAATTACAAAATCATTTCAATAAATACATTAACACTTAAAAATAAATAAATTCGTGTTCATCTATTTCGGTTCATACTGTGTGAAAGGAGGCATTACCATAGATGCATATTCCACAATAGCATATGGCATGTAAAAGAGTATGTATGACCCTCTATCTAAATGCTGATTGATATCTGGTCAAATGCAACAAAATTTGAATATTCACGAAAAGTAACAGAACATTAGAAGTTAAAATTCAAGAAGGATCTAAACTATTTACCATTTCAGATAACTTAAATCGTACAGATCCTCATCGTGTGTCCAGTCATCCATGCTAAATTCCAGAAATGAACGACATCCATTAGAATAAAGCCACGGACCTTTCTCGATTTTCCGACAATCAGGGCATGGCATTGCCCTCTTTACATTGTAAGGCTGAACCAATGTAATCTGAAAGGATGTGGAAAAAATCAAGGATCATGAAAGCTCGGTATCATCTTTACTGAAAAGGCATAACTAAACTTATGCCCTTAATAACTATATAAATATGCTTGAATCTCGCAAGATTTTGGCTCGGTAAAATTTCTCGCGTTTTACTTTCTTTGTTGACTAAGTATTTAGCAAAAAGCAAATAAGCATTGGTGGCAAAGAGTAAACAAAATGCGTATCACACTCAGACAGTCAGACACAAACCTTAGAAAGATTATTTCCACTACCACAACCTTGTTGGTTTGATATATGTTTCACTGAGATGAAAAAAAAAAACATGAAAAATTAGTCCAAATAAAGAGGTCAAGCAACATTTAACAGCAAGGAGAAGAAAAAAACCATGAAGTAGGACCAACTGAAAATAATTGAAAGAAAGGAGGAATAAAACTCAATTAACCTCATAAACGAAATTTTATCATCACAATAGAACACTTAAACACATAGTAAACCCCACCTTACTATTTCACAGCAGAATCAGTAAATCTTTTACTTGAAGTTGAATGCTCTCCGAATGGAGATTGAGCTCGTTCAGAATTCATGTGGTCTCATCTAGAAAATCTTAGTTTAAGCCCTTAAACCATCCTTACATAATTGGTCAGTCTGTTCCTAATTTCTTCCTTCATCCCACACATATGCGCTCGAAAAACACAAACTCACCTTCCCCATAAATACGATTTCCCAACAATATACTCCCTAAGAAAATAATACTGAAAACTTAAAAAATGCCAGGTTGGTACTTTGGCTTGCAAGGAGTACCAGTTATGGTCTTAGCAATTAAGAGAATAACGTAATTTTTTGAGGAAAAATCATAGAGACAAAAGATCAAAACAAATGGCTTACCAATTGAGTCGACTCCCATCTGAAACAAAAGAAGCATGCCAACAGGAAACAGACCTAAAAAAATCAAACGCTAATATGAAGAAATATTGGAGAATCTAATATACACGAAATATTTAAGATTTTGAAAAATTAAGAATTAAATTATATCAATACAATTGTGAGTGTATAAAATTGAAAATTTTGAAAAGAGCATACCAGGTTTTGTGGTTGATTGGATCAAAAAGTACCTGATGTTGCTGAACTCTCAAGAAACCCAAGCAAAATCAAACATTTCCTACACAATTGACAAAGAGGGTTGAAAAGGACAAAAACTATATTTAATCAAACAAACAGATGAAAGCGTGGATTTTTATTGGCTTACCCACATACCCATCTCGTCATTTGCTTGAAACCCCAATTTTCTACTAGTTCACAACACATTGGCAGCAATTTATACAAATTCTAACAACAAATCGTCAAAAACAATGAGAAAAATTACCAGAAATTTCAAATCTTTTGGGGGTTCAGAGTAATTACCAGAGAGATGAGAGAAAAAAAAAACAAAAACAAAATTAAGCCCATTTTTTCAAAATCTGAGAAATACAGTGCAATTTCTGAAAAAATAAAAAGAGTGAGAAAACCCTAAAATCCCCAAGAGCCCTAATTTATAAACCCTAAAATCCCTCTTAACTTTAGAATAGATAATTCGGAGAGACCCACTAGCACGAAGTTGGTGTCACGACAAATGCTCCAAATTTTGCCAAAATTCATTAACTTTTTTTTTTTTTTGAACAAAATTCATAGTACTAATTTTAATAAACTTTTAATTCAGAGACCAAAGTTACAATTTGTCCTTCGGTAACCGATACTCTGATTTACTGACATATACATGGTTTCTTTTCAGAGACCAAAGCTACAATTTGCCATTCAGGAGCCATAGATTATATTACTTGTGCCATGAGACCTTGAGAATGGAAGAGCTGCACCAGCAACAAGACCAAGTGAACAGAAGTCTGACCCAGTTAAGGGTAATTTAGAGAACTGCAGTAACAGAAAGCAATTAGCCAAATATGCTTATGCACTGGTGCGGGTTCGACAATAAGGGTACGTAATTTGCAAAACCAAATAAGGGTAATTTGGGGCTTTTAAATATTCATGAAAGTATCACAGGTTACGCACCCGCTTTTTCGTAAACACGGAATTGAAATTATGATTTTTTATACTCATTCCTTTACACTAAGGTAGGGATGGACTCGAAAAACCGAAAAAGAAAACGAACCAATTGAAAACCGAAACTAAGAAAACCAAAACCGAACACAAAACTATTAGTTCAGTTTCGTTTTTGGTGGTTCGAAAACTAAACCGAGTTTGGTATTCATTTTCAAGTCCAATTTCAAGTCAACTATTAGCTTGATTTCTCAAATGTTAGGTAAACCCAACTTAAAATGTTGAAAGTCTAGTTCATAATATATTTATTTCTTCATTTTCTCTCCATTTTCTAGGCTAACAAAACAAAAGAAAAAAAAACAAGAACCGAACCTGACGAAACCAAAATAATTCGGTTTCTTCTTTATTAATTGCAAAAACTGAACTGAAATGAATATTAATTTCAGTAAAAAGGTCGTACCCAGTGCACAAGGCTCCCACTTTACGCAGGGTCTGGGAGAGGTGAATATTAATTTCAGTGTTGCAAAAAAATTGAAAAGAATAAAACTGAACCTAGAATGCCCAAGATCTTTAAACCATACTCACAATTAGAAATAAACCTGGTATAGATTTTGGCTCAGCTTAGAAATGCGATTGATCTCATTCTCAACCTTGAAAGTGAGACCTGTTTGATCTGTTCAGAGCTCTACATTGACGGAAATTTGTTGTGTGTGTGATCAAAACAACATCATGTACCATCATAAGATATTATTATAATATGAATAGACGACATATCATAGCACATAACAAGTGCATAGCTTATCTCTACTTTCTTTTCCTATGTGTGGGTTCGATAGGTGTATCATGACATTTTTTTTATTCATCGATATTTACACGAAGGGATGGGGAGAATAAATTAGTTGCGAACTCAACATAACAAAGATTGAAACTTAAGACTGTTGAATTTTTGATGTGTATTTCATATCAAAACAATTACAAGATGAAACATTATATAGGAAAAGAAAGAGAACATAAGCCTAACTTGCCTAACTTGCCTAACTTGCCTAATTTCCTAACTTGCCTAACTTGCCTAATTTACACAAAGAAGGTTGACTAGCCTAACTTCACTAGTCATCCAACATGTTTATTTCATGCATGCATTTTAACAAAAGATATGACTTGCATGCATTCCAACACTCCCCCTCAAGCTGGATCGAGGGGATTCCTTGAGCCAAGCTTGGACAGAATGCGCATGAACTGAACCGTAGGAAGAGGTTTAGTAAAAATAACGCTTTGCTTCTTGCTGCACCATGTTACCAAATTCCCACTTGAAATGGCTTCGTGCCGCAAACAAACAGTATTGGCTTCGTGCCGCAAACAAACAAACTTGAAATGGCTTCGTGCCGCAAACTTGAACAACGTTAGGTAGAGCTAAAGCATCCATCGAGCTCTCAGCTTCAAAATGTTCTCCAGCCATCTTGGCTTATAGTAAATGTTCTCCAGCCATCTTGGCTTAGAGTAAATGTTCTCCAGCCATCTTGGCTTAGAGTAAAAGTTCTCCAGCCATCTTGGCTTAGAGTAAATGTTCTCCAGCCATCTTGGCTTAGAGTAAAAGAAACTTAGCGGAAACGATCAACAGAGCATCCATCGAGCACTCAGCTTCATAATGTTCTCCAGCCATCTTGGCTTAGAGTAAAAGAAACTTAGCGGAAACGATCAACAGAGCCAGGAATTTCGAGTTCCTGCTCTGATACCATGTTGAATTTTTGATGTGTATTTCATATCAAAACAATTACAAGATGAAACATTATATAGGAAAAGAAAGAGAACATAAGCCTAACTTGCCTAACTTGCCTAACTTGCCTAATTTCCTAACTTGCCTAACTTGCCTAATTTACACAAAGAAGGTTGACTAGCCTAACTTCACTAGTCATCCAACATGTTTATTTCATGCATGCATTTTAACAAAAGATATGACTTGCATGCATTCCAACAAAGACCTTTCACGTATAAATGAAGAAAAATACCATTAGACTGTAGTACTAAGTGACAAACGTATTATGACTTGGGAACAATTCTTTTTACAAAAGCCCCAAAAGGGTGTAAACCTGAACATTTGAACAAGAAAAGGAGATACAGAAAACAGAAAATGAAAGTGATCTTTAACACCCTTAATATACAAGATTTAATTAGGCCATTAAAGAGAGGAAAAAAAGAAAAGAAAACTTGATGGAAACCCTAAATTATGTAGAGCTTCGTGTCATCGCATGTATGGGAATTCCTCCACTTATTATAGCCTCATCTTCCAATTCCAACTTCCATTGTAGAATCAAGTGGTGTCTTTTCACGCTGATTGCTACTAACTGAAAACAGGCAAACTTCCATTATAAATATTTCTGAAGCTAAATTGCTATTCGGACTCGCTCTTTGAGCGGCTCATACTCAAACTTGCTTATGTTTTGCATAGAGTCGCTCAAAGTGAGTTTGAATAGCAATCCAATCCTTAAAGCTAAAAGGCTATAGCCATGTAAATTTGACACTTAAAAAAAAAATTAATGAGAACAAAAGTAAGCTTCACGTACGCTGTAGAGTGGAAAGCTGTGAGCTCTTCAATACCTGAAGCCTCTTTGCCGTCGATACAAACATGCTGCATTATTAATAAAATGAAATGAGAACCATGTCAAAAAATAAATCTCCAGCAACCGTTACAATTTGTGAAAATTGCAAGATATACAATATATTATGTATGTTTCTAATTAGTTGTTCTGTTTTTTACAAATTAATGAATGATATTTCGTTTAAATTCTGAATCTCGAATACGAGAGTTTAGCCATTAATAGACAAAATAATGCTTGAGGTGTGACTAGTTGGTACCAATTTTATTTAGTAAAGTTGGTATTGGACTGCTTACTTCCATGGGACATCACCAACAAGCATCCTGTCTCCTTCATTATCCTCATAAAGTAGAGTATATTTCCCATTGCCATGTAATGATTCAGTTATTGATTTGGTCTCTCCCTTCTTGTCTTCTTTCTCCACACCACAACAAGTTCTTTGAGCTAAAATGGACACACAAAAAATAGTAGAAAATAAATAAATCATTGATGTAAAACAAAAACAAAATAAATCTAGTAAATAATATCAAAGAATTAGTACTAAAGCTGAAATTCTGCACACAAAAAATAACCTGCAAGAAGACCTTGGAAGAGTTCATCTATGGCAAAAGAGAGTTTCTCATAACTATCATAGGCTTTGAGGTTAATTTTTCTTCCAATGGGAACTCCTTCCATGTTGATCTTTACAAACATGTGGTCCTTGGAATAAGTAGTACTATCAGATTTTCCGTTTCCCTCCTTCAAAGTTTCATTTGGTGACTCCGAATCAGCTGCCGGCTTTGCGAAGCTTGATGGTGATGATCTGATTGCAAGATTTTTCCTGGATGAACGGATCGGAGGCCATCCGACAACTGGAGCTTGTGCAATTCTGCTTTTACTGGGGTAGCAAAGATAATAAAGTTTTCAAAAATTATGGTCTTGACCGAAGCATTTCTATTTATCATTCAATTCCACAACAGAGCTAATTTCATGGCAACTATTCACCTACGTACTTTGTATACTTCATAATCAATTTTACATTAACTAGCTGATGATTATTATATGCTTAACTAAGATTAATTCCCTTAGCATGATCAAATCCGATGGATGACAGTTATTTGATAAGGAAGAAGATTAAGTAATTTCTTTATCTTAACCATCATTAGTTGAGGCAAATAAAGTAAGAAAATCTATAGAGTTGTACCTTTTCTGATCAGAGTCACGAGCTGCTGTTGAATTTGTAAGCTCAAAAGCACTTGCTGGAGGATCTGATGAGCTGTTTGCCAGCCACTTTCTCTCTTCTTTTTTCTCTTCATGACAGACTCTTTTGGCTTCATGAGAAATATTGTTCTTGTTGCAGCAACCAAGGGAAAGAAGTGACTGATGATCTTCTCCTCCAGGAGGACCCAGCCTCAGCTCCAGCTTTTTGTCTTCAGCTGCAACATACCCTCTCTTATTTGCCCTTACAACTCCATTATTCTCACAAATCATACTATACAAATTATCCATTTCGCACACTAAACTCTTCAAGTCTGAAAACCTGAAAACTGAAATGGTTATCAAACGAGCTCTAAACTCTTCAAATCCCAAAGTAATTAACTTAAGAACAAAAATATAAAGAAATTAACAACTAGGGTTTGTGCGAAACATGGAAAATTCTACTTAAGGGACCCAAAAACTGTGAAGTAGCTAGCCTTGAGAACCCTGAGGAGATGAGTAGTACAACGCAGTGTGGTTGTAAGGAGATATATAGCAAATTCTTCCAATAACCTGCTTTTTGGAGACACTGTTTGGACTAGTTAATTATAGAGCACATGCAAGAATAGGAAAATGGTTGGGAAGATTCCTTGTCTGGAATTTTAGAATCAAAAATAGAAAATATAGAGTGTTCAAAAACAAGTAACAACCGTGTAGCTGGAATAAGTGGCCGGTCACATATACATGACACTGTGACAAATGACCAAGACAGCATTCAGCTCAAAATACACAATGTGCCTATATGTGTGGTGTGTGTGAGCGCGAGATAAGATAGAGAGATGAGTATGCTTATTGAGAAATTTTTATGTGTATTGGGAATACTTGTTACGCAGTGTAACTAGCGTACTACTTCACATGTTATATGGTTAATATGTTTCACTTCTAGGTTATATTGATAAATAAAATACATATGTGTTATAATTTGAATAGAATAATAACATCACGTAACAGTGTTTTGAGACATTGAAATATCTCTTGCTTATTATTCTCTTCCTTGAAAAATGGAAAAGAGGGAAGAAAAGAAACACATGCCTAAATTATCTGGAAGCCACCCAACTTGCAAAGGCGTTGTGCTTTTTATTACCCTTTTTCTCATAATGCATGCCACATAAACCAGTGTTGTGTGAGCTTATTGCTGAGAAGGGGTCCATAAGTCTGGCTAATAGACGAAATGACATCAATCAGGTGAAGCACAACTGTCCGTTTGTTAACTTTAATCAACTTCAAAACTCAATTAGGTTAATATTCATTGAGGAAGGTTTTAAGATTGTCATCAAGCTCGCATTTGGGAGAAATACAATTATGTGTATGATTAGTGAATCGCGTGAAGAAAAAGATAGATACATGGTTGTATAGGGTTGACGGTTTAGGCAGAGTATTTAATTAATTAAAATTCAAACTCTTGATTAAGTTTGAGTTGTGCCTATCAGATTTAAACTTCTGGGGGCTCAATATTGAATCACAAGTGACTTTGACTGGGATTAGATTTGAAGGAACAGTCGGATATATGCAGCAGTAGCCACAGCACTAAATTGTAAATTCATGGAGAAGACTTCTTAGTCACCAAAAAGTAGTGGTCCTTCAACTCCACTAGCTAAGCCACGCAAAAGTGCTTGTAGAAATCCTTGGATACTAATTATAGTCACACCCAAATCTTAACAACATGGTTAAGCTGGTTTAAGACTCCCATAATTGCTCTTTTCATGCTTAATCATGGAGATTTATGTCCTTTTACGCCAGAAATTCTTAGCTATCTTTTTGTGTTTGTTTTTCTTCTATGATAAGAGAAATAGATACTAGAAGATATACAACTAATTACACAACACGTTCTCTCTTTTAAGCACACCCTTGCATTTGATGGGTTGGGTTGGTGGTGAAAGCCTAGCTTCGATTACTCCAATTTTGAAGCGTGCCTTTCATTAATTTTTTATTTTGTCTGTTCTTGGAAGAAAGCAACTTATGATCAAATGTTCAATGAATATTGTACATACGGCAAAGTCATGATGATCATCATTTGCAAAGCCACCCTTTTGCATTTGCCAGAACAAGAGGTGGCTAGTGGTAGAGCCCTACATCCCACTTAAAAAAGATTATCAATCACTGCCCTCAATCGGTCAATCAAATCTTTGATAAATCCCAACTTCAGTTTAGGCTCTTTTTGCTTTCTACCCTCTGCATATTCTTCACCCTTCTTGATTGTTGTTATCATTGCAAGTTTTCTACCCTCTTCATATTCTTCACCCTTCTTGATTGTTGTTATCATTGCAAGTTTTTCTGCGCTCTAACAAACCATCCAATATAGAATATATTATATACCAAACCAATGCTCTTGGTGAATGATGCCCTCATATGTTTGAGAAGACTTCCGTCCTTTTCTTTAAAAGAATGAAAGTGTCAACAAAATCTCTTATATTCAGCTTCATTTAACCCTCGTCTTATTTGTTGATAAGGTTGATAATTTAAAGGATATGATGACTCTTTGAATCTTAGCTATTAGATTTTAAGTGTTATATTTATGATGAAGAAGATAAAACATAAGCGATTATCCAATCTAAAAATTGAAACTAAAAAGTATTAAATTTAAGCTCTACATATTGATTATGCATCTTAAATCGCGTTAGTAAATAAGATTAAAGTTCAAGAAGATTGAAGTGATGTTTTCTCGATAACCAAAGTGTAGAAAAGAACTCTACATGTGAGGTATAATACATATATTCATGCATCTTTGTTATTCACAATATACACCAAATTCATCGGTGACTCTGATAAGTAGAAGAACTTGGAATATTTCTTCTTTATAATGACTAAAACATTGAAAAATCATACATACCAATGAGACTTATCACTCCCATCAAGTCATGAGTGATTGCATATATTCATAAAACAGAAGTGCAAATTTATTAATCCCATAAGAGGGCCAAGATAATACATAATTTAGAATTGCATGCAAACCATAAAAGATCTACATCTGCATTATTGGTACTCTAGTTAAGATCCATATTTTTTGGAATATATATAACTTAAGCTTTATGGCCAACCAAAATTGAAAAACTGCATAGTACTCCTTGATATTTTAATGGTGCTCTATAAAACCCTAGGACCATAAAATGATAAAATGGTGCTGATGATAGCTCTTTTTCTCCATATTATCAACTTGGCACCTCAGGTAAATATGTGGCACTCAGACACGTTGAACCAGTCCTGCTTGCCTCCTCAACTACAGACGTACAAGACACATATATAAGAAATATAGAAAAAAAATAACAATGTAACTACTGCCTGCCTAGTTACTTAACTTCTCTATCCCGAGGATATATATATCCCTGCTCTCTCTTTCTCACTTTCACTTGAGATGATAAGGGAGGAAAAAAAAAAGTTCGAAACGATATATCCCTTGTACATGAAAGGTTTTCTTCTCGCTCCAGGCACAAGACTAGAGAGGGTAATGATACCTGAAAATAATTCTCAAGGTGAATCCTCAAGGTCTGATGCTCTTGTTTCACTCTCTCCAAAGCCCTGAAGCATCTGCAATAATCAATCACAATGAGATCACACCAAGGAGAGAAATGGAGAAAAATTAATTTGGTTACAAATATACGAAGTATGTTTTTTCACCCATCAGCATTTGCAGCCAAACAAAATTCTTTAAATTGGGAGCATTCATTCTTCACCTTTATAGCTCCAATGCTGTTACACATTTACCTTAATTTAGAACATTAATTGGGGAAACAATATATTTATTCAAGTTATAAAATTCAATCAAAGCAAGTAGTATAGGGTACCTTGAACTACTACCGTTGAACTGGTGCATGTAATCATCCAGCTTGGAAAAATCTATAGGCCTACTGTACCTGCATAAATCAATGTATAAATACATTCATCTTAGTACTACTCATTGTATACTTAGTTTTGATAATACGAATGTATATAGTATATAGATAATACGATTGTATGTAGTATATATATAACTGGGAGTGTTATTTACTTACAGTGCTTGCTCAATCTTTTGGAACAGTCTAGCTGAGTCTTTGTAGAACAATGTCACAATTTCCTCCACAAAATTTGGGTTTGCATCATCTTGCAATTCCTCCAGCTGAACGAATTGCTGCTGATCGAGGTAACGCTGCAAACATTCAAGTAAATAAATTTTGAAGGTTAAGTCTTAAGAATTTGTTCTAGCGTACAATTTTTTTTTCTGGTATGGTTTTAGAGCCATACATAAACATTATCCTAATAAAAATCAAGAGCTTTGCCATCAGTGTGATCAAAATAGCTAGGGTTTTGTTGTACATTCAAAATTTGGGCTTTGGGGCCTTACACAAAACAAAGAATTTGGGGCTTTCTAGAGACCACTATCAAACCCATACTAGAAGAGAGCGACGATTCCTTTTGTAACTCCATTTCTTCAATAAATGGAAAAAGATTGTAAATTAAGCCACTAGGGTTAGCCAGTAGTGAGGGTGATAGGATGGGTTAGTTTCAAAGTTCGAAATCCTCTAATGTAATGAAAAAAAGAAGATTATAAACTATCAAAAGTCTGTGAAAATTGATTAAAATACGAAGAAGGAAAAACGGATTGCTTAATTCATCAAAACTTGAGAGCATTGTTGATTTAAAAGAAAAATAAGTGTTACCAGAACAATAATCCCCTCCCTTAAAAAAGTGGAAAACCCTATTGTGGAATAACCAAAGATCAAAAACCAATCACATTTGGCAAAAACATGAAAAGTTATCGGTGTAGAGCAAACGACATGCAGTTTTCAAGATGTTTAATGACCGAAAATAGGGTTTGAAAAAAAAATAAAAAAAAATAAAAAAGAGAAGCAAAGTAATAAGTGATAACCTGCTCAAAGAGAGAGCTTCTCTTGAGGGCAACCTGGCGCTGCAGTTGGGTTCTGTCCATTCTCTTGGTTTAAAACGAAAAATTTGGGAAGTCCTACGTGAGAAAAGAGGCAAAAACTGAATGCAAAACTCCCCACCAAAAAAAAAAAACCTCTCGTGTAGAGTAGAGTAGGAGTAGAGAACTCAATGATATGCCTTATTATTATTATACCAGCATGGCAAGCCAACGTTTTTATAGCATGTCGAGTAGATAGTGAATATATAAAGGCACATAAAAAATCTAAGAGGGTATGTGTCCGGAAAATATCTTGGCTTCTTTATCTAATTTGGTGGCTATCAATCTCCTGGCAGACATAAAAATAGCAACGATGCACGCCTATTCATTTTAACAGGAGAGATCAAATTCACTAAATCGTTGATGAAAAACACACGAGTTTTAACCATTGGATTCAAACTTGCTCGTGTTTAACATTATAATCTTTGCGTTTGCGATACAAGAAAGGATATTTCAAAATTGTGAAGAAAATCAGAGGAAACTGAGAAAACCCCTACAACTACAACACTAAATTGGCAAGTTCGACAATTTGGTATCTTTGGAGGGAAGCATCCACTCTCCAGCGAATAGAACTCGCTTTATGTGTGAGTAAACTTCAAAAGATTAAATTGCTTTCAAATAACTTCCACATCAATTACATATAAAAATAAACACTTCCGTATAAATTAAGTAAATAATTCCACTCACCCTCTATGGTCGGTTTTCAACTTTAATGAAGGGGACGGAAATGGTTAAGATTTTATAGAGGCAAATCGTAACAAGTCATATCATTATTGGAAAGTTTGATTTGTTTTGGTGCTAAAGAACAGAAACACTCCCTCACAATTGCATTTTCTTTGGTGTGAATGCCCCTTTAATCCACCAACAAGGATTGGTTGAGTTGGTAAGGATTGTTATTTTCGCTAGACCAAGCCTTAGGTTCGAGTCCTGCTGCCGGCAATCCCTCTTAATGGGAGATTTGTAAGAACAAAAACAAAAAAAAAAGAGGCTAAGTACTGGTTTGGTACTGAGATGATTTAAAAAAAAAGGTGGGTATAAAAAAAAGCTGAGCTTAAAAAAGTGTTTGGTAAACACTTAAAAACAGCTTATTTTCACAGTTTTGGGTGAAAAAAAGATGAAAACGTGAAGCAACAAAAATGAGCTTATTCTCATAGCACAGCAGAAACAGTTTTTTTTTTTTTCAAGGCACATCAATATCAAACCAGCCCTAGGACCCCTCAAGTCCCAATGCTTGGGGTTGGAATGGATAACCTCCCCTCCCCTAAACTTTCTTCAACCAAAATAAATAAATAAAACAGAATACCCCTTTATTTCTCCCTCTTCTCATGACTTTCTCCTCATGTGATGATATATAGAGAGAGAAAGACAGACAGACAGAAAATGGTTTTCGAAAATATGTAAGCCGGCTGGCCTCACCTATCCTAACTCATTTTTCTATCCACCTTCACCACTTAAGCTAAATTCAAGGTCTTAAAGTCTTAAAATATTTATATTTAACTCATGTAATTAAGGGCACATTTAGGTATGCTTGCGTAAGAAGCATTTATAATCATAAGCGCTTTGTTAGAAGTATTTTTGTTAAAAGCACAACAAATTTATTTATTGAAAATACTTTCTTAAAAAACGGTTGCAAGTGTAAGCATTTCTCTAAACGAACTAAAAGTGTTTTTATAATCCAAAACAAACCATATATACACTCTTTGTTAGCTAAAAGTGTTTTGAACCTTCCAAAAGCGTTGCCAAACAAAATTTTCATTGCTTCTAACAAATTATATTGTAAGTGTCACACACATGTGATCGAAGTGAAAATAAAAGTAGTATTGATGTTAAAAGAAATGTGAGATAATTTTAAAAGTAGCTATACTTGAGGTTTTGTATACCATGATACTACATCTAAATTTGGCTAGAGCAGTATGCTCTCTTTGCACCCAAATTCGAATCCCTTGACATTCCATACATATATACCAATCGACCACCTCTCAAATCCAATTAGTGTAGACATAGTATAAGCATTTGTTATGTATCTAATAGATTTGTGGGAGACATTGATTTAACCAAGTTGGTTAAAGTAGTATGCTCTCTTTGCATCTAAATTTAAATCTCTCTCTTCGTAATTTACTGTAAAATTAGTGTAAATTATCTTGGTGTTTGGAAAATTAATGAGAAAGAAAACCTTGTTCCACAATCCACACATTTTTGGTCCCGTTGAGAAAGCATGTCACAAAGGCATTGCCCATTAGACTTAGTGAGAACACACCCGCGCGCATGAGCTATCTGCTTTGTTGTATCCCACACACTAGACATTACATGCAACTTTGGAACAAATCCTAGAATCTTTCTTTCCTCTTAAGGACGACGAGATTGTGATTGCAAAGCCAAATGAACGTCTCACAAATGCACAAAAATACCTCCCCACTTTTCCAGATGTGGGACAATTTAAGATTTTAAGATGTTCTTTTTTACTTGGTACTAGTTGCCTTGGCACATATACTTACTCACCAAGTTCCACAAGTGCTTATTCCATCTCTCTCTCTCTCTCTCTCTCTCTCTCTCTCTCTCTTTCTTTTAGTGCTGCTAAGGACAGTCGCCAAGGTGCAAGGAGGCGATTTTCATCTGTGAATGCAAGTGAATCCTATAACGTGTTAAAGGACCAAACTCACCCAATGGAACATGAGCAATTGTGATGGATGTCCATGAGGGTCGTTCAATGCAAATCTATTCGCTCTTCATTCCATATTTTTTCTTTATACAACGATGGTTGAGAATCTGGGTTCAAGTCACACAATGGGATCTGTCGTAATAATTAGGTATCGAACTGAGTCAAATTTGAGACCTTCCACTTACAAATGAGGAGAAATACCACTAATATTGGAGTGCTAGTTTTTCGTCATTCCATAGTTAAAAGTCTGCATGAAGTGACTGGAAACAAACTTCTAGGGACTAAGCAAAGATCAGATAAGGGGGTGCCAAAACACAAATTGTAGCAGATCATATAAGAGGATGTCACAACTTTCTCTTAGCCCAAAGGAAGAAACTCTAGCTTATTTTACAAGGCACTTGGTATTCTGAAGGTATATACAAATAGGGATCAAGTAGATGAACATGGTACAATGTAACCAAGAATGCATACAGTAGTGATGAATGAGATGAGAATCAACCTTTTCCAATTTGCAGGCGTATCACGGTGGGCCTTGTCGCGTCTTTCTCCACTGCGATTCTCACGAAAATGTTAAAAGGGGAGAAAGCTGTGCAAAGAGGAGACGCACCCTTTATTCTCTTGCCACATAGTAAGAAAGACAGAGAAAGGTGGGAGGAAAAAAAATGAAGTTTTTAGCGAGTGCCGTCGCCATTGACCTCTCGCTGTCTTTGTTGGTCGTTACTATCGATAGTGCGGTCACAGCTCCTCCTCTTTTGTAAAGAAAACAAGGCCAAGGGTGGGCGGATGGATGAATGGGATGAGAATATTAATTCATGTTTTTTCCAATCATCGGAAGGATTTATACTCTCTTTCTATCGCTGTCTCATGTGTGTTGATAAGAATAATGATAAACCCTAAGCTTCTAAAGAAATATACGAGCTTCCAAAAATCAAATTTACTATTAAAACTAGAGAAACATAAAGCACCAGAACCAGCTTCATCAGGTCTACGAGGAGCACACATTCGAGAAATGTGATCATCACTTAGCAAGTAAACTTAAAATTATCAAATCATCACAAATATTTCAATAAACAAGAGGAAATTGTGATCATCACTCAACTTTTGGTTGAACCACAATCTCATACCTCATGTTTAAAAAATGACAATGTCATACCTCATCTTTCACATTGATTGCAATGTTAGATCTCCGTCAGTTTGTTCGTGAATTTCTCAGTTAAATGCTAGCGTGGATTTATGTGGGGTCCACCCCTCACCCAAATGGCATCCATGTGGCACGACCCCAAAATTTCTCCCACCAAATGGCATCCCACTGGGTTTTCCATGCCACTGGACTTATTGGTGGATGACACGTGGATAATCAAATTAAAATTGTAAAAATTATAAAAATAAAAATAAATAAAAAGCTAGAACTAAAAGTAACTAGTAGAGTGTGCCATTTGAAATCACTTTCCCCCAAAAACCCACTCATTCTCGCTCAAATCGAATTCCCAATTCCATAAAGCACAAGAACCCTAACCCTAGTTCATACCAATGGCTAAAAAATCTTAATTAATTAGATTAGGAACTCAGCGAAAACCCCAAATCATCTTGTCGGCTCTCTTCCGTCACTTTGTTGGTGTTGGAAGGGGGCAATTTCATTTGGGTTGCATAGGGTTCGCAGTAAACTTGAAGGATTCTATATGGGGTGGAACGTGCGTGAGGATCCCGATGAAATGACGCCAACCTATTGTAAGTACAACTGCTTACTGATTTGACATGGGTGGACATGGTTCTTTTTGTAGGTTTTGTTGATTCCAAATGCCTACTGATTTTTTATGCTTTGTTGATTTGTTTATTCTTATCGGGAAAATGGTGGTTTTGTGCTTTGTGAAATCGAAATGGTTACCCAGATTTGAAAAATCTCTATCTTGATTTGTTTATTCTTGTCGAGAAAATGTGGTTGCGTGCTTGCTTAATTCGAAATTTTTATTGAGGCGTTGGATAATGGGTTTGCTGATTTGTTTATTCTTGTCGAGAAAAGGTGGTTGTTGCTTTGTTTATTCCTGTCGAGAAATGGTTACCATGCAATTGCTTTGTTGCTTTTGTTGCTTTGTTACTTTGTTGCTTTGTTGGTTTGTTGCTTTTTGTAGGCTTTTGATTAGATAAAAATGCAACTGATTAGGTTATAATGCACTTGCTTTGGTTATGGTAAGGTTTTTAATTAGGGATTATTTTTGTGAATTTCAGTTTATCCAAAACTGTTCTCTATTGAATTGCATCATGGTGGGAGATTTGTTATGACTTCTATGCTGGGGGAAAAGTGACATATATAGATAACTGTGACAAAGATCTCATGTCTTTGCTAGTGATAGATGATATGGTGGATGTTGGAAATGTGCCCTAAAGCCAATCATATGATGATACTTTACGGACATTTCACATGTTAAACTAATCTAGTTTTACATATAAAGGGCAAAGATT